ACTTTTCGAAACTCCTTGGTGTCTTGTTATAGGGTTGGCTCGTATTGGGGTAAGGTGCAACTCTAAAATTTTTGTTCAGAACTGTACTTTGTGATTCTGTCTCTGGTGCTAGTGTTATTCTTTTCTAAAAGGTGTTGTATTTAATTTTGCCACTTCAAAATAATGCTAGAATATTTAATTTGCTTTATAGGAAAAATTCCTTTCCAAACTCACATGCTGTAATGTGCCCCAATCTTCAGTACCCCATCAAAGGTGTTCAATATTCACCAGGTAATAATTTTTATTGAAGGATGGAATGTGGTAATCTGCAATGGTGGAGTTATTAAGAATTTCTTTTTAGATCCACTGTTACTATTTTGAATTTCAAAAATGTGCAGCAGAGAGCTTTATCAACAAGTTTGAAAAGAATTAGTAAACAAATTATGTAGATTCTGAACTTGATGCAGTTTTACTGTCCTGGTTCATAGGATATTGTTCTTTTTTCATGCTGTATGCTGTTTTCCTTGCTTGTACACTTGCATAAGAGAGGCAAGGAAGTGTATAAAAATATTTTGGCTGTGTTGCATCCAAGGAATGGCAGATTATTTTCGTCCCATGTTATTTCTTGTATCATTCTTTGAACTTTAATTTTCAGACTGAGCTACAGGGCATGGCTTCACAGATTGCTTTCTTTAATTGTGTGAAGGCTGTTGTGTGAATTCAAGATAAGATTATTTTGCATCCTAAAATTTTCCCCCTTGTTATATGCGTCTCAGAAAAGATTCAGATATCATAAATATGGATTCTGGTTTTTTCAGTCTTCATTAAACCATATGGTCAAATATAGAGGTAGCCATTCATAGGGTCTGGTGAATGGGTGAATGGTTTGTCAGGGGAAAAAAAAAAAAAAAGATACACAGAATTTCTGTGGATTGAATCCTTATATCAATGTTTGGGATTTGCTATTGACAGGAAAAGCAACATATGGAAATAAGAAAGGGGCTGTGTCTCAGTGATGAGAAATAATACAATGCTTGATGGTGTTTTGGTAGATTGACCTCTCCTTTAAAGACAAGAAAGTTTAGTTATAGTGATTGCCTCCTCTTCCCTATTGTAGATTTAAAATTGTATTTATTTTTTTTTTTGAGGTTTATAATTTATGGGTAATCCTAATGCTGTAGATTAATCCAGTGGAAAGCATCAGTTCAGCCGACAGACTGCAAACCTGTCTGACAGACAGGAAAATACCATATTGTGGCACCTTTAAGAATGTAAAATAAAATAAGGCTTAAAATAACATGGTTTGTTTTGCTGCAATCTCTATAGATAAAATAATTTTCTACTGTAATTGCATTTCTACTGGCACATGGCCATGTTTATATCACCATTCTGGTTTAAAACTTTCATTCCTCTAGCTCCTTAATAAAGAGTCAAAATGTGATAGCTGGAGAGTATTTGCAACTCACAGAACTGAAAAACTATGTAGTAAAATGAATAAAAATACTGTTGTATTCTAGATCTACCCCAGTACTTTAACAGAGCATATTGTTTCCTTTTGCACAGATAATTGATTTCTCTAATATTTAAGATTGATTTAAGTTTTTTGAGGGGTATTTGGCCTCTCTTAGTAACCCCTCAAAATTGGCCTGAAAGATATGGATATGTCAATGTTTCATATCTAAATACAGGGTATTGAATTTTAGGAGATAGGCATCTCTGGGAGTCAGAAGTGGTTGTTGGCTTTTTTTTTATTATGTAGTGTTGTTTTAGTTGGCTATTGTGTGAATAGTGCTGGGGAGTCAACACTATAGGCATAGTGGGTTTCACTTGCTAACACTGAACTAATTGCTGCTGATGTGCTCAGCCCCTGAGAGCAAGATACCATGAGTACCTGGAAAGAAGGTTACCCTAACCTATCAGCTCTACCATTGTCTATTCCTCTTTTGTGTTTTGTTCACATCACTTTCTGAGCTCTTTTTTACAGTGTTCTGGATCTTAAGAATATTTCTGATTTTATTCTTTAAACAGGCTTCTACCCTGTTCAACTGTAAGCCTTTTGGCCCTATTTACAAACTTTGTGCCTTTCTCACCATGGTTTATACTAAGAATGCTGTTTGCATGCTTGTTTCCTTCTGACCCAGGTTCTCCTTGACTGTAACATGAGACAACGTCAAATGGATTTTAAAGCCATCAGTTGGCTAGATTTTCTACTGAAGGGGATTATAAAGCTCAGAAGTGAACCAGTAGATTAATTACTAAATCAAATACCCTAACACTGTGACACTGAGGCAGACTGTACTTGTTCAGCACCTGGTCAGGAACGGTTGACTGTCAGGGAAAAAAAAAGTGCTCCTGCAGTGTTCATTTTGCTAATGATATTTATGTGAGGTGATGTCTACGTAGCCAGAAAGAATATTATATTCCAAAGAGTTTTTAATTAAAAATACCTTTAGATGTCCTTTGAAGCAAAACCGAGAATGTAATTTTAATGGGCTTTGGAAATACTTGAAATACATAATATTTATAGGCTTTAAAGGTATATAGTCACAAAGAGAATCTTAATTTCTATACGTATTAATTTATCAGAGCACTTTTTTGACTAATATAGAATATATTTTACAATAAATACAAAAATTCAATATTTCTAACATGACTCATATTTCTACAAAAGCTAATTAAATATTTTATGTAGAGAGTCTGCCTTTTCTTGGTGCCTTTTAATAGAGCTTATGCCTTGTCATGTGTGATACTATGAACATAGAAAGAGATTTTTATTAAATACAACTTTCTTGCTAGGATGGTGGAACTCAGATTATTTACAAGATAGTAAGTATAGAAAATAATTTAAAATAGCATACAGGAACTTAATAACAGAACTGATTTTGTCTTGAAAGGAGTAGTATACTTTAATGAATTTGGCATAATCACAGGGGCAACTACTATTTTCATTTCATTTTTGTTCTTCATATTTGAACCACACAAAACAGGTAATAACTGAGGTTTCTGAAGATCAAAATTTGATCCTTTCCATGTCATAATTCCTTTAGCTATAAAACACAGACCCGCAAGCGCCATCCTAGACAAGATACAGAGGTTACAAGGTGATTGTAAACTCTTACAAGGTTTTTGGTTTGTTTGTTTTTAAATCCATAATGATTTTCTTCTTCCACAAAAACTACATTGAAGCCATAGTCTTTTTGTTCTATCATTTGATGTCTCAGCAACTAAAATTTGTGTTAGGTGTTGGTAGCGTTTGGAGATAGAAATTTCATGGTTAACTTTCATGTTTCTCAGGCTTCTTTTTGGAGCATTTTAATAGGTAATTGACCATTTAATTAACTTCATATGCAATGCAAAGCATTTGAAAGGAAGCGTTTTTCTCCCAACAGGCACTTTTTCAAAAAGTCTAGAAGTGAGGGAGATAGGTGGGTGGAACAGAGCTGAGGAAGTTTAGGGTTGCTAGTAAAGGTGCTCTTCATCCCTGTCCAGCCATATCTCTTTGGATAGAAGTAGGAACTGTGGGAACTACTGCAAGTGGGGCAGATGGACATGACTCTCACAGTTTCAATACTATGATCCAAACTGATAATATAATACAGACTTTTGTCTAGATCTCCACATTCAGTTTTCAATTATAAAGAATCTGCAGAGTTCCCTGCAGTAAGTAATTAGAAAGAAACTTAATAGCCACGTAATACACAGGCAGAAGTGATTTTCTACTCTGTTATATGTGCCTTAGTAAGGCTACTTAATAAGGCTACTTACCAGTCTTTCACAAGAGTAAAAATTTTATTGCACAGCTTTCCAAGAGTACTGCAGAAATAAAGCCATGATTTCAAGACTTTGCCACATGCATCTTTGCTCTTGAGGCGATCATCTTGTCTCTACTGAGATGATGAAGGTTGTGACCAGGTTTATATTTTTTCCAGGACCTGTCTTTCCTTAAGTTTATAGAAATAAATAAGTGTTTTATAGCACTGGAAGTGGTTAAAATAAATGTCAGTAAAGGGTAAGTATTAGAAGAACCTAGACCAAACTGTAATACTCACAATACCACATTACACAACTTTTATGTAACTCTTGGCTGTACTGTCCAATAAAAATTATCCTCAAAGCCTTATTTTAGTTTTATAAGCTGTGCATGTATATAATACACAATGTACTTTTATATGCCAAAGAACTGCAACCACGTTATTTATTATCACCATAAGGCTCTCTTAATAATTTAAGCTCTTAATCTTCTGTAGTATGTTCTCTTGCCACACTGTATATCTCACTGGTTTTGCAGTTGTCTGGGCATTACTATTCATGCAACCTGATTTCAACACAAAAATGCTATTTCTTTGTAAATATAATTGCTTATTTAATGGTCAGTGTAATTTATTCCTATAGTTATAGTCTGATGGAAAGAGTTTTATCAGATTTGTTGATTCTAAGAGAGAATGTGTCATACCTCTGTTCTCCTGCTAGAGTTTTTGGAAATTAGGGTAGAGATAAGGAGCATTATTAAAATAAAATATTTTACGTCATTAAGATTTAACAATTTAATCAGGCATATACACAGTCTCTTCTATCCAGGTTATCATATCTCTTGCCCATAATCTCATTTCTCACTAAGCAATATGGGAGCTTGGAGGACTGACTTTCAGATCCCCATGTGTCTCTGACAGCCTGGAAGAGAAGGATGTGCACTAAAACTACCAACAGAACCCTAGTGATGTTTTTTTCCCCTTAGCTTTCAGCCTGTATGTGTCCTCCCATGGCTTCCTATGTAAACTAAGGCTTTCTGGTAGGATATGTCAGCTATTAATAAAGTGTAAAACAATTTGAAAAAGACGTGGTAAGGAACTTGGAACCCTTAAATATGGAAGAACATTTCAAAGGTATTTGGTATTTTGTATGCTACCTATGTTGATTTCATTGATCATTGTCATTGTAAATGAAATGAAATGTTGTTATATTTTGAATTATCCTTTACTGGAGGGCTTTTTTTTTTTTTTTTTTTTCTCTCATTACTGCAGGTTTAAGATTTTTAAGAGCCCTTAGACTGATACAGTTTTCAGAAATTTTGCAGTTTCTGAATATCCTTAAAACAAGGTAAGACCTTTTCTTACATATTGTGTTAGTTACATTGTTGACAGAACATAGGTTTGTGGTCCTAGTAATGTTATTTTTATATTATGGAAAAAAAAAACTTGTTATTTGCACTTTAAGCCTTTTTCTGATGATAGATGATTTATCAGTGTTAGCATCTTTTGACATGTGAACAGTAGAAAATTTTATTTGATGTGTTGCTACATTTGAAATATCTGAGCAAGAATGAGTGCTGATAAATTAAAATCAAAGAATTACAGAACTGTTTACTGACTAAATATTGCTTCTTTGCACATAATCAGTCCACATTCTGCTGCCCTGGAAAAACAGAAACTGCAATTTATTCGACAGAATACAACTAAAAAGTATTTTGAAAAATCAACATCATGGCTCTCATTTAGTTTTTTCTTGACTGAGCATCCTTCTTCACATCAAAAACTTTTTTAAAAAAATATTTTTAGACTCAGCTCTTTTTTTATTGTGTTCATTGTCATTAGCATTTCTTTCAAAGAATATTTAAAATAGACCAATTAACCCCCTGGCTTTCACTGGTGCTGCAGACTATTAATACATGAAAGTTGTGCAGAAGAAGCAAAACTTTGAACAAAAGATCACTTCGAAGGAAAAAGAAGAAAGAACCTTCCCATTCCTCACATTTGAAGATGCATTGCCTTTCATCATTCCGTAACATGCCCCAGGTTAAATACTGAGTCAGCTTCCAATAATTACTGTAAACTGAGTCCCATTCTGAAATCCTATGCTCTCTCCACCAGTTGCTGATGAAAGTGTGAAGGCTTTATATGCAAGTGAACTAATTTGCTTGCTGTATTATTAATTAGTATTGATAGATGCTTGAGATTAGTACACAGTCATACTAAACAGCTGTTTCTTCAACCCTTAACCTTGAAAATATTCTCTTTGCTGTAAAAGTCTTAGACTCTCAGTCTTGACCTGTGTTACTGTAAGGAATCCAGTCCTTGCCAATTAAAGAGGTCAAAGAATGTGCAGTGAATATGTAGTACAGTAGCTTAGAGTGCTACCAGTATAGTAGGGAAAAGAGAGTAATTTGTGCAGGAGCTCAGAATATGCCATGAGTTTGTATGTAACACATAGAACATCACCAAAAGAAATGGCAGTCAGCTGAAAAGTCCCAAAAATTCAAAGGATTTTGGATAAAAGCTAAAAGCCTCTTCCAGAGTAGTGGATTTGTAAACTACCAGATCCATAAAAGAAGGCATACTGCATTAAGCAGTTTCAGTGTATTTAGAGTTGAATTATTCAAGATTGATCTATTCATTTAAATAGTGTTTTTCTGTTGCTAAATTTACTATTAGGTTGGATACCAACTTCTCTGTGATTATTTATATCCAAGTATCTGTAAAATCAAAATTTTGATTCTTAGCCTGTAAAGCAGAGCTTCTTTATGTTGACTGTTTTTGACTAGAGACATTTCAGTGTGCTAGGCATTAATAAAAAGTAACTACTGACAAGACGAGAAACTGATATGGTATAAAGAGCACTGCTGCGTTTTAATATTTGGAGCAATTAGACAAGAAAATACGTCCTTCTTTTCCTTTTTCTCCCAGTAAACAAAAAGTTTTACTCTAACCTGTAAATTAAAATTACTCCTGGAATTAGTAACTGAGATGCAAGGATTAAAGGAGCATATATTATTCACTTAGTAGGCAGAAAAGCCATACCAAACCCTGGAATCTGAAGGAAGAAGCTAAGCAATGCAAAAAAAGAGAGGCACCGAGAAGACTAATAATGTAGTGTGAGAATGTTAGCTAATTATTAGAATATCTGGAAAATCATTAGTTATATTTGAAAAGAACCTGTAAGGCAAAACAAAATATTTCTGCGACATATTAAAATACCATATTCGACCAAGGATCAATTTGTTTTGCTAATTTGAAATTAAATGTGTTTTATTCAATATTTTTTTTTTGTTCCTATGTTTTATGAAATAGAATTAGTTGCGTGATGTTCAGTTGAAAATGTCTGTCCTTCAGTTCACAGCATTCTAGTATTTTTCAACAGAACTACAGAGGCTTAGGTAGGACTCACAGTAAAGGATTTTGCACAGATGTTGGGAAGAGCTTAAAAAGCAGGAAAATGTTTCTGACTAATCCTTCATCTATTTTTAGACTGTGGCAGAAACTCATAGAGGAGAGATACAGTGCAATATTTAATAAATCTGCAAAAATAAAACATACCAAGCAAGTAATGTAAATAGGTATTTTTTATGACTGCTATATTACAGAAATATGTGGAGACCAACTGACACATTATTGCATCAAGATCCCATCCTGTTCAAAGTGCAGGGGGGTGATGTCTAGCCTTTCATAATGGAGCTTTGCATCCATATGATTTCTACGATTTTGTTCAATCTAGGAAAATGGTTTTTAGGGTCCTGTGCTATAACTGAATGTTATCACCAACAAAATATGAGCCTTAATCAACCATACCTTAAGGAAGGGAGAAATAGGGGGTATGTGTTGATGTATGTGAATGCTAATTAATTGCAGAACTGCTAGTATATTGTGTTATTTTTGAGCACGGTATTCATTACGGCATCTGTCATATTACTCAACTGAATTTTTCTCCTATCCTAGTTCCCACAGTTACTCACTTCATTAACTATATAACTCTAAAAGTATTGTTAATTAAAATGATCTCATTGATTTTCCAGGTTTATTTCTCAACTTTGTTTAGAAAATAATGCATTTTAATTCTCCTTAAAGTAGTTGTAAACAGAAATACTTATTAATTCTAGGGCAAAACAACTATTTTTAACATTGACAATGTAATTTCCTGGTTTCTGTTCCTTCTGGAATGTATTGCTATTAGTAGGAATATGGAATTTGTAATGCATTGCTGTTATTGCTGTTGTCAGGAATAATAGGGATTTTTCTGCTTCATTTTTCTTTCTTATAAATGTTTTCAAAAACAAAGGGGAGCTATTTCAAATACAATTCCATGAACAGGTCAGATTGTTTAGACATAGTAACACATGGACTTCAGTTCCTTATGTATTTGTTGACTATTCTTTTGAAATCATAGTGTTTTTTGTAAGGAGAGAGGAAACAAGCTTTATGTATTTCTTCCACAAACTGAAATACAGTATTTTCCTGC